GTTTAACCTCCAAGTACTTGGGGATTTTCCAGAAACCGTTCCGTTATTGATTTCTAGCTTAATGTCATTACAGTCCAACAACATACTCGGTGTGATTTCTGTTCGTTCAACATTTGTTAAGGTCCATTTTATGGCCCAAAGTCTAGTGTATTATAGTGAATGCTCAGTGTGCACTTGAAGAGACTATGTGCATTAGGCTACTGTTGGCTGGAGAGTATCTGCTTGTAAGACGGTGTGATTTTGGTGTAAGACTAGACCAGGGTTTCTCAGTCTCAGCATTAGTGATATTTGGGGCCAGGAGGCTCTTTCCTGTTGGGAGCCCCCCTGTGCACTGAGGGTGTTTCTCAGCAGCATCTCCAACTTCTACCATCAGATGCCCCTCCCCCAAGTGTGGCAACTGAAACTGTCCCCAGACATGGCCCGGTGTCCCTTAGGAGGTGAGAGCTCCCAGGGTAAGAACCACTCAAAGAGAATACGTCAGCACAGTGGAGAACGACTCTCACATCACACGTGAGACTTCCGCTTGTCCAAAGACACCAGTAAGAACAGGAGAAGGCAAGCCACAGACCGAAGGAAAATGCTCCTATCTGACAAAGGATCTGCACACAGAATATACAGAGAAGTCCCACAGAACAAAAATAGGAAGCCAAATAACCCAGTTTTTACAGTGGGACAGTTGAAAAGTCATGTCACAAAAGAAGATACACAGAGGGAATGAAAAGCAGAGCTCCAGTGAGATACGCATCCCCACCACCGCGGTTAGGACGAAGGACAGCACAGTCCCCACGACGATGTGGGGTTACGGCACGCACGCAGAATGGACTGAGCTGTGTACTGCAGATCTGCACATCCTACCTACAACCAGCTTTGTTTCCATGAATAAAAATGGACTGGGTATTTATTGTCCCATTCTGGGATTTCTGTTTTGGGGGAAAAATCTCTTTTTTGTTCTCTTCAAAAATTTTTAAACAGTTGAAATGTTTCGTTGAGACAAAATCTCACGTGGGAAAATGGGGCCCCATCTGGGCAGCCCCCTCCCCTACAGCTTCCCCCCAGATGAGACATCTCGACCAAATGCCAGAGGAGAAAATCCAGAACCACTACTCTGCATCCCCCTCCCCACATCCAGGCCTTCTGAGGACAAATAAATGTAATGTTTGTTACCATTGACCAAGGGCTCACCACATGCTGGGCACCACTCCAAGCCTATCATGTAGAATATTCGGTAATATTCAGTAAGCTCAACACGTTAAGTCCTATTACTGGGAGCCGCACTTGGCAGAAGCTCACTGAGAGTAGAGACCTGTCTGCAAGGACGCATGGGCTCAAACAGGGCACGAACCCAGGCTGGCCCCCGTGTGTGCGCCCCCCAGAATGAACCGCTGTGTGCACTGTGGGACTCCATCACCTGACGCGGGGCCCAGTGTGCATGCAGCGCTGTGTTCAAGGGGGGGGCTGTTCGCGCCACCCCCTGGGGTCTCTTTCCCACAGATCACTTTCTAAAAATACATTGACTCATGCCCCAAACTCATGACTTTTCTCAAATAACCCCTGGGCTCTCCTCTTCGTGGACAAACTCGACGAACTGTTCAGAATGGTCACTTACACTATCATTGTGTCGGTCTGGAGCCGCTGCTGCCTCGCTGGCTCCGGGCCGTCTGCAGGTGGCTCTTCCTCTCCCTCCCTTCGGCTCCCCTGGGGTGACCGGTGACCGTGCTCCGTGTCCCCCTCTGGCCTCGGGGCTCAGGCCTGTTCCGGCGTCCTGCCCCTCAGACAAACTACCCTGAAGACAGGAAATAGTCACAATTGAGCTCCGGGCTGGACCCTGTGCCCCAAGCAGGAGAAGACACGACAACAGACACATCTCCTAACCCTTCCTACCGAACTAACGTGGAGAGACGCCTCTGAATTTGGAATGGACACGGTTAGTACGGATTTCCCCTTCATGCAACCTGCAGAGGGCTTACCGCTTTTCGGAGGTGGCAGAGATAAAGGGCTGGGTTCTTTTGTCTGGATTCTCGAGTCTGCTTACAGGATCTACATTGCTGATGGTAGGGCCTGCTTAGGTGTGTACATGGTTCTGTCCATCTGTCTCCTGGGGTCTGACGTCAGAGAGGAGCTCATGAGCCTGGGATTCAGCCCACAGCCCCGTGGCAGCCGCCAGCAGCAAGGGACACGGGGACTCCAGGAAGCCTCCTCTGCTCCTTTGCTTCTCACTCCGGCAGCCTTCAATGCCGGCCTCCATGCTCACAGGACCACCCAGCGTGGGCGCCATTTGGAAGCAGAAAAAACTGGAAAAAGTATCCTCGTGTTATTCTGAAAAACTTTTTTATGGTTTCCTTTTAGTATTCTCTAAGCTACAGCAAATCTGCACATGAAAATCTATTTCTCCCCCTGGCAACTAGGATCCCAAAGTAGGAACTATCCATTTGAGGGAGTAACCAAGGGGCTTTGAGGGGATTTCAGAATGAGATGGGTTTCCTAGGACAGTTTCTGCAGAGGAGCGGGGAGCTGTTCTGGAGTGAGGGCCCCGGGAGTCTTGGGGTGTGCATTCTATGCAGAAGGCACCTGCCGCCGGCTTCTAACCCCACCTGTGCTCCTCAGTCTCAGGTCCTGATTTTCAGCCTCCAGGTGTGTGATTTATGTGGATAGCTGGCTTTCCATTTATATGATTTATATGGACACGGCGGGATTGTAAAATGCTAAACCGTCACAATAAAAAAAAATCTATTAAGCCTAGTGAGGTTGAAGTTGTGTTTTTTTTTAACTATTTAAAATATATGGTAATGAAGGACCATACTTTTGGGGCTCTCTGCTTCTATGACTCAGCAGCTGCGATCTTGGGGCTAAAAGCCTGAATTCTGGAGCAGACTGCTGTCACAGTCTAGCCCTGCTACACTCTGCATGAGCCTGCACAGTGACTCAGTGTCCCGTTTGGACAATGCCAAATGCTTACAGGGGTATCCAGCACAATAGTTGTAGCAAACATTAACCATCATGAGTCAATGTTTAAGAGGGAAAAAAATGTGTTTAGCTCTCTACAGTGGCAACTGTCCTGTAAGTGGTGTGCCCAGCTTTGGAAGAAAGAGATCACAGGGAGTTAGAAAACGTTTTTGAAACATAGAATCATAGACATAGGCTCACTCAGGGGTGAGTGCCGTCCAAAAGCCACCAAAAGGGTCATCTTCTCTCATTTTGAGGACATCTCCTCACTCACAGGCACCGAGCTAAAACTGTGGAGACAGAGACAGACACAGGTGTCTCCTTTAGGGACTCTCAGACCCTTCACCTGAGACGATGAGGTGGTGGTATTAGAAGGGAGAGCTACTATATTGCAAGGAAATAAGAAATTGGTACCAACCGGCAGAAATGCAAGGTGTGAAATGAGCCATTTCAAGGAAACAGAAGGAGAGGGGAGATGCAGAAAGTTTGCATTTTTGCAAAGTCAGAAGTGAGGCCAAGAGCCTAAGTCTGGGCTTTTGCCAGAGGCCGCCGGGCTCCCGCTCCCTCACGCAGTGCTGGACTAAACACACGCAGACACTGGCGGGGTGAGGCCAGCTGCGTGCACGTGCCCCGCCCACGTGTGCAAGCCAACCTGAGCCCCACACGCAGCAGAGTCCTGGGCGAGGTCCGGCCGCACTGTGCTGCTCCCGTCGACTCCGGCCACTTCCTGCCACAGGTGGCCGCGCCTGGGGGTTTGCTCACCTGTCTTACTGGCGGTCAGGCCAGGCGCATACGGATACGGATCCCCAGCCTGGGATCCCACGAGGAGTCCGGGCAGATCCACCACTCCCTGTTAGGTGCCAAAATGAGAACCAGCTGTATGACAGCTAATTTCTTCCTCTTTTCGTTTTGTTCTGTTTTGAGTGAAGGGAGCTGGAATGTGTTACACACCTGGTTTTAAAGCAAAAATTGCCATAATAATAATTTACAATATAAATTGTATTCTACTAGAATGTAAAAATAAGTATTTTTAATTTTAGCAGAAATACTGACTTTAAATCTGTAATGAATGGGCTCTGCTTAATCAGAACTTAGAGTTAAGCCCAAGTTTCTCTGCTGCCCCATTTTTACAGAAGGAAGTAAATCACAGAGAAAACAAATTACGTCAGGAATTTACTTTGAAAAGCAAGGAACAATCTTTAACTGGCTGTAGAGCCAGACTTAGCAACCGAGTATTTCTACACATTTTTACATCCAAGCCCATGCACTGATCCTACTCCGTGTTCCAACTGCGATCCAAACTAGGAGAGAAGCTTCGGTACATCTGGTCTTACAACTCCCGTTTTTGATCAGATAAAATGAATTTTTACTCTATTATCAAAAGATTGTTCGCAGAACTTGAAACAGAGAATTCAGTGGGCCAGAAGTTTAAGCTAAGTTGACCTTTCTGCCTGCCAAATGCCCTCACGGTAGAGCATACCCTGAAGCGGGATCGGAGAACATTGGTTTGTAAGGGAGTTTGGAGGAACACGGCCACTGTGATTGTGAGGCGGGGTGGACCTCGCAGCCTGCTCTTTCTGTCTGCAGTACGTGACCTGCACTACTGTGCATGAGTTACAACTGAAGGCAAGCCTTTTGTTTTTCTTTTTATTTTTCTGAGTGTGTAAAGCTGCCAAAAGCTAACATGACTTTTATGAGATTCTCAGGTTTTTGGCTTAAATTCAGGAGCCACGTCCACTGCTGTGCTGTGTGAGTTATGGTGCTTTTCGGCACCTTTTTGTTAACATGGAATGATCCTAACTTCATTACCTGGCCACAAACAGTCAGGTCTCAAAGCAGCTTTGTAAATAGCATCCTCTGTTACTTCTGATGACTTTGCATTTGTAACTGAGCCTGCAGAGTGTGGACCTAAGGCCAGGATGTCCGCCAAAAGACACACATTCAGCTGGAAACTTTCCAACGGCCTCTCGGCGCAGGTTGGAATGACCCTCACCTGCTCTGCCCCTTCCGTGCATGTTCACAGAACACCTTTTCTCTTCGTTTCTTTTCTCTTTTAGCCAGAGCTACCCGCAAGCTGCAAGCGACGTGCCTGCCAGCCACAGCCTGGACCCCTCGGCCAGCTACAACTCCCCGAAATTCCGCTCCCGGAACCAGAGCTACATGAGAGCTGTCAGCACCCTGAGTCAGGCCAGCTGTGTGAGCCAGGTCGGGAATTCCTTCCCTCCCCTCTCCCTCGGGTCAGGTCTCTGAAGCCGTGTCCTCGCAGTGGCCAGCTGCTGGGGGCAAGGCCGTGAGCAGATGTGAGGTTCCTGTCTGGAACCGTCTCTCTGACCGCACACCCGGGAACCCTGTAACACTGAGTTCTCGGCCACACCTGTGACGGCATCCCCCTTCCACGGGCCTGCTCTGAGTCAGGGCTGACGTCTCAGCCTGCTTGCGGTCTTAGCTCGGGCTGTCTTCCTTTCCCCAGGAGGCTTCCCCAGGGAAACGGGGCCAGGGCAGGTCCATGACAGCTGGGCTCTGACGGCAGTGGAAACTCGGACGGTCCAGTAAGAAGAGCTGAGAACAATCCGGGGTGCAGAGCTGTGTTTGCCAGGCGCACAGGACGTATTTCTCAGTTCTCTCACAGCCCCGGTGGGATCCGTGGCCCTGGGGTGGATGGTGGTGTTTGGTGTTTTAATCGGGCGCAGAGGCGTGGCTGCCCGAGGCAGGGAGAGTGGCAGGCTTGCCCATCCTGTTTTGAGCTGTTCAAAGAGTAGCCAGAGCTAAGTGAGTGGTAGCTGGGGCTTCTAATCACCAAATGCCGTAGGATCGATAAGCATTGAATTCCTGCATTTTTAATTAAACAGGTTGCTTACTAATTTTAGCTGCCTTTAAAAACAGTGCTGAAGCTCACCCCAAGTGTCTCAGGCTTACACCTAATGTTTTCTTGCACTTCCTGCAGAGTCGCAGCTAGGGTGCTGCTCGGGCAGAGCCCGGCTCGCTTCCCCCCACCCCGCCTCTGCCTCCTGAGCCTGCGTGTCCCTTAACCATCTTGAACCTCTCCTTCCTCATCAGCGGGGAGAGGAAGGGTGCACCCGGTACTGTGGGAACAGGTGGCGTAACGCATTCGCGCACGGGGCAGGTGGCTAATGAAGGCTGGATCTCATGTAAAGAGCAGCATAGAGTCAGTACGCGGTAAATGCCAGCCATTATCGTTACTACAGTAATAATAATAATACTGCTAGTACATAATTCTGAAAAACCCTCCTGGTCACAGGCTAACGCTATGGGCTCTTGGTAGCTTGCCAGGGGTTCAAAGTTGCTGAAGACTGTTTTGCCACAGGCTTTAAATGCCTTATAAAGCAAGAGTCTGTTCATTTTACAGTTTTTTCTCATCAGAAAGTTGCACTCTGGACTTTTTCTACTGAACAATCTGGGTTTTTCCTGTTCCACAACTGAAGAAAGACATGGCCTCTTTCATCACCTCAGATGCTATTTTTCTTTAAAAACAGGATTAGGTTTCCAGCTACAGCAAAGAGAATTCCAGTGACCCTTCCCCCCGCCCGCCGCCCCTGCCAAGACAAGGAAAGGACTATTCCTGACTCTGCACACGAGGGCCATCCTGGACTGAACCTCAGCCCGGGGCAAACCGGGACACTGGGTCACGCTGCGGCCCGACCTCAAATGCCCCCACAAATAATAATAAAAACAGCAATAGCAACTATAGATGGTCAGCAACTAGATTACTATTATTATCTAATTAATCGGGGAAACATCCCATTTTAGCATAAACTCCAAGATGACGTTAGGAATTACTAACTGAACAGAGCGCATGCAGAGACGCCCTCAACCTCGCTCCCCCCGCCTCCAGGAGAAGGACCTTCACGGCAGACTTCTCCTGAGACGCCAGCTTCCCTTCCGGTTACAACACCTCCTTTGCCAAAATACAACTTTAGAGTCAGACGTGGCCCCATCAGGGTCTGCAGCAGGGTGCAAGGTGATTTCACCGTAGACGGGGTGACTCCTGCAGGCTTTGCTTTCTTTCTCTTTCTTTTTTTATTTGAGTTGACTTGACCCCCGATGTTGCCTTAGATTCAGGTGCACCGCAGAGTGATTGGACCCCGTTAGGCATCATGCGCTGCTCACCCCAGTGTAGCTGCGTGCTGTTCCATCGTGCTTCCTGCTGTTACAATGTAACGGACCTTCCTGCGCCTTCCATTTCCCTGACTCCTTCATTCCATTACCAGAAGCCTGCACCTCCCCCTCCCCTCTCCCATTTCACCCGTGCCCTCATCCCTCTCCCGGCAACCGACAGTTTGTTCTCTGTGTTTGTGGGTCTGATTCTGCTTTTCATTTGTTCTCATTTGTGCTCAACAAACAGGTTCCGCTGAATGCACAGCACACCTCTCCAGATGCTCTTGTGAAAGCCACCAGCTTCCTAGTTGCAGAAACATAAGCCATGCACTACCCTCTACACCATGTTTTTAGTGAACCCAAGATGGGATTTCCAAAAATACATCAGTAAAAAAACATGTCCCCGCACCTTTTTCTATCTGAAAAGATTCGTCATTGTAAATAAGAGCAATAGCACACAAGCTGGATGTTTGGGGGTTTTACTTATTTTGATGACTTTGACATTTGGGATTCTAAGTCATTCTGATTGCTAAGTTCTATGACAGGACTTTACATCAAACTCAATTTTTAATTCTGGGAAAAAAAAATTGTTACTTAAAATAACCCTGGCACCCTGACAGTGGATGGGGCCGTTTTACCCCTGGAAACAAATTTGTAGTAATCCCATATCAAACCCTGGCTGGTGTGATCCACCAATCCGAGGAGGAGAAGGATGCAGTTTCCAGTAATGGGGCACAGTGCATTTGGGGTGATGCCCCTGGGAACCCCTCAGTGTCCCTGAGATACTTGAATTTGTGGCTAAAGCTGTTGGAGTTCACTCTTTAATACTCAGCGTTCAGTGAAATGAAAAGTCTAACTGAGTGCTTGTGAAACTGGCTTGTCTGTAAGCTGGGCTGTGGTTTGAACTTGAGTCGCTGGACTCAGGTCTGGCCTCTCTGAGCTCACGAACCTGGGACGAGTCGCGTGGGTGTGTGCAGCGCGTGGGCTGGTGCCGTGGGATTGCCAGCATCTAGGACTGCAATGGTGCCCGGTGCTCGGGACGTTACACCTTCCCAGTGACCAGCCTGAGCGGCGGGATTTATCTGTAACCGTACAGTTTCTTCCCTGGAGGAGTCTCCTGGAAAATGCTAGGAAAGCGCATTGACGTTGCTTGTGTGGGATCGTGGACGTGGCACGGAGGCGGTCTCGGTGCATTCAGCCCGTGTGTCTGAGCTCTCTGGGCATCTCCTTTGTTGCTGACCTTTCCTGAGCTCTCTGGGATGCACCAGCTTGCCGGTTCATCTGACAGGACCCCAAACGGTGCTCTAACTCCCAGAAAGATGTTCCCTACCGTTTCAGAGAACACAGCGGACTTTGTTCTGGGTTGCACTGCCCCCCCCACACACACTTCAGTGCTCTGCGTTAATGTCTGTCTAGCTAAGTCTATTCCGTAGATGGAAGAATTCCCACGTTTTTCATATCCCGGAGATGCACTTAGAGCAAAACTGTAAGACCATCTAATCCTCCATCATTCGATAAATAATGGTGTGACAGCAGTGTGGCCTGCGTGTCCCCATCCCTGTGATGGGCTCTGTCACCCAGGGCCACCCAGCGGGGCGTGACCACTGTGGGTTCCTGGCAGACCCGCCCTCAGCCAAGTGCCCTGGAGCTCCTTCCCAGCGCTGCGGGGACTCGGGAACGCAGGGGAGCAGGACGCCCAGTAGCAAGGGAGGAACTGGGTCTCCAGACGGCCGCCCATCTGACAGCAGGAGCGGAGCAGATTCGTGTCTGTGCCTGTCGCCTCCCACGGTCGCCCACAGGGATGAGCACCCCAGCCACCCGCCCGTCCCCTCATCCCCACCACCCCGAGCAGCCTCCTTCCCTGTGTCACCTTGTCACATTCCCACACCCCACGTGTGGAGGGCCAGTGTCCCGCCCCAGAGGGGTCACAGAGCCACGCAGACGCAAGCCGCCCACACATACTGGCGTTGCTGGGGTCAGACACGCCTATGTGCCCCAGCCCTCTCCAGGCAAGCTTCAGGGACACAGCCTTACCGTGTCCCAGGGCGTGAAGAGGCCGGCCCGGCTGGGTCCAGACCTCCCCCGGCTCCTCTCCGTGGGAAGGACATGGAGGCCCCGCACAGAAGGTGCACACACGGGGCCACTGGGGAGGCGAGGCCGGGCTGCTGTGGCGCATGGGCACTCTAGTGTTAGGGGGCCTGCTGTGCCCCTGTGTTCTCGCGCTTGGCACAGCTCCCAGCTCAGCCAGCCCGGCCCCCTGAGGTCACCGGAGCTGAGTCTCCGCATTTACTTCGTTTCCGTTCATGCACGGTTGGGCTAATTCTGGGAGTCCGCCCCGTTTCCTGGAGCTGCGTGGACGGTGGGACCCTCTGCGTCCTGGCTGAGGAAGACGTTTGCCTTCCTGCAGCTTCCAACCGGGCCCGCTGTCTCATGGTCCCCTTCTTTCTCTCTTTCTCTTTCTCTCTCTTTCTGTTTAAAAAGCCATTCAGGCATGGTCATAGCCTCCTTCTATCATGCATCCTTTCCCCCCAAAAAAAAAATTGTGGTAAAATATCCATAACAAAATTCTCCGTCTTAACCGTTTTTAAGTGCTGCAGGTGCTGTGCGGGTGTCCCCCCCCATGTGTCCCCAGAACTCTGGCAGAACTCCAGCTCTGTCCCCACAGAACACGAGCCCCCTGCCCCCAGCCCCAGGCGCCACCGTCTCCGCGTCTCTGCGGAAGTGACTCCTCCAGGGACCTCACGCGAGTAGAACCGCAGTGTCTTTCCTCATCTGGCTGGCTTCTTTCCCTCAGCATCCCGCCCTCCAGGTCCCTCGCCATCAGAGCAGGTGTCGGGCCCTCCTCCGTGGGCAGGGCGGAGGAATGGTCCACCCTGTGAACGCGGGTCTGCAAATAGCGGTTCTCGTCCCTGCTTTGTTCGTAGGGACCGATACCCAGACGTGGCATGCCGGGTCCTGGGGTAGTTCTTTTCATTTCTGGAAGACCCGCCACCCCCTTCCGCAGCGGCCACACCAGCGTCCATTCCCACCGGCCGTGCCTGCCCTGGAGCGCCATCTGTCGCAACCTCCACCACACGCAGGACAGTCACCCTGTCACCCCCCATTTCCCCGACTTTGGTGCCTTGGTGCCCACGTTCTCCAGAAGCAAGTCAAGCCATGTTTCTGAGTTTATGGTTCATGAAAGAAGACGGAGGAAGCTTCAGAGGACACTGATTCTTGCCATAACTTTGACACCATTGCCTTAATGTCCTCCTGCGATTTCCAGGGGCTGACGGTGGCTTGAGTCCCCGTGTAAACTCATACCCGCGTTTCCAAATCTCCCTCAGGCTCCGTGAACACATCCGCTCCCAGAGAGCAGGTCATTTCGGTTCCTCTCTGGACGAAAATTTGAGATTCTTCTCAACTACTTATTATTTGCTTGGGAGAAGCAAGGCACCTTCCTTTCTAGAACCCCACGGATGTGTTTGTGTAGCCTGAGTGCCAGCCAGGTGTCCTTACTGAAATTTTAGTCTTTTGCTTATAGAATGGTTTTCTCCTTCAAGGAGCGAGTTCCTGCACCCATGGTGGGTTTGAGCAAGGATTTTCACTAAATCCTGCAACCAGATGCGATCCACATCGCTCACATTTTGGCCTTTTCAGGCTGTCTAACGTGGATCTTTGACATAAATGACATGAAATGATCTGAGGCTTTTTGATAGAATTCCCCATGAGGGAATACTTGGAGCAAAAGAAGTTTGTCATCGAAAATGCAGTGTTTCAGACCAGCATTTGTGCTTGTGATGTGCTCCACTCTCCGGGAAGCTGGGGCTGTCCTGGCGGGAGTGCCGTGGGTTGTCCGTCCCTCTCCAACTTCATGAACCCGTGAGCCATTCAGACGGACCCTCTCATCCGTAATTTCCCTCTGGTCCTTTCTGCCGGCACTACCCAGAGATTCTCCCCCTTACGCTGAGGGTCTTTGTGGCCCTGGGCACGGTCCTCCAGCGTCTCTACCACCAGAGGCCGGCGTCGGCGTGCTCAGATTCGCCAGGTGAAAGGAGCCATTATTCAAGCGTGTCCGGAACTCCGGGTGACGCCAGAGAAGGCCGCATTCAGGACTGCAATTAGAGACTTAAGGAAAAATCATGTTTGTTTTCCTGTCAGAGGGGAGATCGGATTCTTTCACCTGCTTTTACTCTGTGAACGGTCAGAGGAAAACAGCAAATCTGGTGTTTCAAACCACACTTGTTTGCATCTGTCGGTCAGCGTCACCCGGGGTGTGCAGGAAGCTGTGGGTGACACATTTGGATGTGGATGCGGCCGGTGCAGGAATGTGATGGGGACGAGATGCTGCTGGGCTCCACTGCGGCGGGGTGGGCTTCGCGGGAGAAGCCACCCGGCAAGTGGGACAGTTTTCTCAGGGTCTGCCTGGGCTCCTCCCAAAGCCCGGGGCAGGAGGGCTGGGACCGGGGACGATCTAGAGGAACGGTGGAGATCACAGGAGCTGCTCCCTCCGCCCTGCGCCTCCTTCCTCTGTGCGGAGCCCGTGCTCACCCTCACAGCCTCGCGTGAGCCTCGGCCCTTGCCCATCAGCTTCACCAGCAAGTGTCCCATATATCGCAACTGTTAACCCACACAGGGTTCACCAAGGGGCACACCCAACCTGTGGGAGTAGCAGGGGAGGGCTCTTTCATCAACGTCCCATGCAGCTTAACACGTGACCTCTGCCCACGACCCCGTGAGCCTCCGGTCCTCAGGCCGGTGAGCAGCTGAGCAGTTTCAACTTCTCATTCCTAAAATTCTCGTCTCTCCTCCTACCCCGTTCTCTCCAATGTGGCTTTAGTACTGCATTTCACTTCCCTGGATTCCCTTTTAAAACCTCTAGATTCGGCTCATGGGAAATGCATGAGTATCACCCCCTGGAAGCCTCAGGTAAAGTGTGTCCCTGGCCAGTGTCACTGACCCCACACAAAGGCCCTCCAGCCAACCCGACGGTCACTCCCATGTGTGCTCGTGATCCCGCTCCTGCCCGAAGCCTTGAGATTTATTTTAATGCATTTGGAACTTTCAGGTTCCCAGGGTGACTCTATACCTGGAAATTAAATTGCAGGCTTGTGAATAGTTCCCTTCCCTGCTAAATGATCAAAGGAGGCGAGTCTGCTCCTGTCCCGGGCAGGACGGCACTAGAACTGGGATGTACGGGGTGCAGCCTGTCGGCATGGACAGAAACCCCACCGGCCAGATGTGTGGTGGGTTTCCACGACGACACACAGAAGCAGACCGAACATGTGTTCGTGTGTGTGGCCTCCACATCTCGAGCCAGCCGCTGTAAGCAGCCTGGAAAGGTAACAGAGGCGCCGGGAACACCCGGAGCGGGGACTGGTGTCTGAACGCTGAGCTCGTCCACGCACGGCGTCTGCTAAACCTTGTGGTCACGGCCCCCACCCTGTCAGGCTTTCCGTGGGCTCCACAGAATTTCAGGAGCATCTTGAAATTGACGATTTTTCTTAGTGTTTGGAAAAAATAACCCGGGAAGACCCTCCCTAAGGCTAACCGATCCCCAAGGCCGATCTCACATGAACACCGCTGGAAAGACAGACCATGTGTGAGGGTGGGGCTGAATTTTGTTCTCGCTTGTTCTTTGGTGACATGTCCGCGGTCGCCCTGGCCGGGTCTCACCACCGACTGTGCGTTGTTGTTCCAGATGAGCGAGGCAGAGATGAACGGGCAGTTCGAGTCAGTGTGTGAGTCCGTCTTTAGCGAAGTCGAATCCCAGGCCATGGACGCCCTGGACCTCCCCGGATGCTTCCGAACGAGGAGCCACAGTTACCTTCGAGCTATCCAAGCCGGCTACTCCCAGGATGACGAATGTATTCCGGTCATGACGCCCTCCAACACCACCTCAACCATCCGATCCACAGCAGGTAAAGGCGCCCTTTCTGACCTTCCTAGCGAGGAACCCACAGGCGAGCGCGGGGTCCTCCTCCCAGAGGAGCGCACGCTCCTTCACCGCAGGTGAAATACACTCTCCAAACATTTGGCACCTTTGCCAAATTGCACTTGGCACATTGTCATATTTGCAGTGGGGTTTTGAAACATTTCTTTTATAGTTAACCTTTCTTTTTCTTAGGATGCGATCTCTTAGTGTCAAGATTCTTGAAAAGAATCAAGTATAACTTCTGTAAAGTTTTCTATAGGAAACAAGTTTAAGCGTGACATTTGGACAGTGATTGTGCTTTAAATACCGAAGTTCACTAGATCTCGGTCAAACCTGAGCTTCGTGCCCTGACTCCCGGGCTCCCTCCTCGCTGCGTCCAGTGTGAGCGTCTGCTGCCTGCCGACAGATCCGTAAACATGATTCATTGCTCAGAGCAAATCCATCGTTCTTGTAGATTCACTAATCATCCTTGGGCTCTGCAGATTCAGTGTCACAGTTTGCTTGCATTCTTATGGAAAACCATATCCATCCCTTTGAAAATTTACCACCTAAACCAAATATCGGTGTGGGAAGGCTCTACTCTGTTGTTTATGTAACACAATGAATATGCATGGCCTGGAGAAGCCATAAAACACAGCAAGCCATAAACGCTCTCGGGTCTCTGTACAAAGGCCAAGCAGAGAAACTCAGAGAGCAGCCGTGTTGAGGAGCAAGGTCCTCTGACTCCTGGCAGATGGGGAAGCTGCCGGCACATCGGAGCAAGGAAGGGACCCGTCCGAGAAAAGAGCGAGGATGTTGTTGGGCAAACAAGCATGGGACCGGAGTGGGGGCGGGGCGGGGAGCGCAGGAAGGGGGTCTCTCCGCCCCATCAGCAGCAGGAAGCCTGCTGTCGGGCACTTTGGGAGGAGGGCGTGTGGCGGGAGAGCCTGGAGATGGGAGAGGATGAACTGTGTTCAGGCCTCGTTCCATGCCTCCAGCCCTCCAAGATCGCAGGCTTGTTCACTTCCTGGCTCTCAGTGTTCAGAAGAAGCAGTAGCTGTGAATGATTTATCCAGTAAGCCTAGGGATTAGTTTTCAGAGGGCGTGTGGTCCTCGGCGATCTTTTTGTGAGGCTCTGTGGCACCCAAGTGGGGGGTTGGTGACACGACTTGACCGTGAAGCCTTGGGGTGTTCGGAAGAAGTGGGCTGGACCGTGGGGTGCTGTGTTCCCACAGCACAGCTCGTGGCAACACAGGGGGCGGCGCCACGGACGTGCTCTGTGGACATCAGCAGGACTGTGACTGTGACCGAGGTGCAATATGGCGGGCTTTGTGGGTGGCGGGGCTGAGCCTCTGGCCCTCGGCCTACGTGTCCCGGATCTCAGCAGGTCCTGACTCCCCTCGGCGGAGTCAGGGACCACCTCTCCCGCTCTGCCCTTTGTGGAAAATGACCAAGTTACAAACTTAGGGAAGTAGTGAGCTTTACAACTGTTGCATTTTAAAAAACACACTTTCAGAGATCGTTGCTGATATCTTTACCAATATTTGTTGAATGTCTCTTATGAGCAAGTGACAATTAAGCACTTTCATGGTCTTCAGAAATGCTTTGAAATAATAATTACCTAGTAGAAGATGACTTTATTATGTTTAGAGCTGTCATTATGGGGAAAATAAAAATAAAACTGTTTTCATAGAGACAATGTGAGAACCAGTGCAGAACTCAGACTAAAATTCTAATTTATGTACATATCATTTTCCCAAGTACATTGTTGTGTTCCCAAAACGTATGCACCTGATAAATCATAAAACATGCTTTTATTCAGCGTTTCTCCTGGATCTTGGCCTGGTTACAAAGTCAACATTGCCCCCAAGGCTGAGGGCATGTGGGGCATGCCAGGGTCAGGGAAGGGTCTGAGAATTGGGTTAAGAGAAGAAACAAAAACCGCTAGGGGAGATTTCTAGCACAAAATACCACTTTGAAGAAAGGGGAGTGCAGAGCACTCACTCATTCTTCTGTTTCCTGCTTTACTGCAAGCATTGCATGTATTTATCATCTTTCTCTCCTCCGTAGAATTGAGAGGGTACGCAACAATTGTCCATTTAATCAGATTGAAAAAAATACCTAAGAAATGAAAAGTCCCTATCTGGAAAAACACAGAAAAACAAATGTAGGGGGGAGAAACTATCCAACTACACAGCATGTAAATGCCCACTGACCTTCCAATTTGACTCAGGGCTTCCTGTCAGTGAGTCAGAATGGGCCGTCAATCATTCTGTATTAACATATTTAGAAGATCCTATACCAATGTTAACTTCCAATAGCTATCCCCCGTGGTTGCGTGTGTGTGAAGAGAGATTATTTTGACAAATTGATTTTCTTTAATGGTTCTACAACTATCTCTTGAAAATAATTCCAAAAAAAACTATTTTCAAATTTATTCACAGTCATTATTTGGAAGCCTAAGATTTATTTAAATATGTTCCTTTTTGCATGCTTGCAAAGTAGAAGTTGGTGTAATTAGGTTGTCGCCCCTTGAACAAATGCAAACATGTCATTTTAATATGCATCTAGTAATAATGAAATATCCAATAGAGGCATGAAAGGTCTATTAAGAATGCTAAAATATGTCGTAGGCATTCTGTTTTAAACACCGACAAATTGATGGCGCCATTATGTGTTGCTTGTTTGCGGGGGACTGGAGGTCAGCTGCGTTTGACCCTGAAGGGCACGTGGAGATTCGGCCGGGAACAGTCTTCTGCTCAGCTCTCTGGGGAACTCACATGGGGCTCACATGCACACTCGGCAGGCGACCCCCAGCCATAGACATCTGCCCTGCACTGTGTCTTTCATTATGAAAAACACTGCATATTGATTAGTATCCTCTCCTTAAATGAAGTGGTTTTGAAAACCTCTTTCATTTCACACATGGGTTCTTTCTTGTCTGTGAAATGATTTATCAAAGAGATTTACTTATCTAAATATGCATTTCACCCGATCTTTCTAGGGAGAGAATGTTATTGATACCGTGGAGGAAAATGCTATAAAATTAGATTATAATGATTTTTCTCTGGGTCAAAAGTTTTTTCAACAAATGTCACAACTGATTCTAGAAGTCATTAAAGCAAAGGGAAAATCCATGCAAAGCATGACAGTGGAAACAGCCATAAATTTATTTTTATTTGGTTGTTTATAGTTCAATAGTAACTTGTCCCTCGGGGGTACATCATAATTCCAGTTTCCAGGAGCGCATTGGGCCTCTAGGGTTCGACTGCCCTCCTCAGCCCCCGGCCACAACTCGGTCCGCTTCCGTCCCCGCGCCCCCTTCTCTGACTCCGGGATGACATCAGGCCCCCACTCAACCCCGGGATGGCTCCCGTGTCTGGATCCTGAACCTAATCACACTTGCAAAGTGCCTTCCGCCAGGGAAGGTGACACAGGGCCCAGAGATGAGAATGTGCACATCTGGGGCTGTGGGCACTCTTCTGTCTACTGTCAGAGGATCGTTATGTAGTGACAGTAAATCCTGCAAATATTGCAGTAAATACTGGCTGAGGGCCTGGGGGATGGGATGGGTGGATGAGGTCTTCTCGGACACCAAGCCCGGAGTAGATGTCGATGTCTTCTCGGTCAGACAGAAGCCTGGGCACGTGAAACTAATCCTTGTCATGAACCCAAACTCCTCCAGCTGATGGGAAACCAAACCCCAAACCAGACAGGGGGTCTCGTGAGAAGCCCCCAGCTGTGGCAAGGTGACGTGGGTTCTCTCTCCTCCCCACTCCCCCAGGATCAGACTTCCTGCCAGAGGCACATCTCTGACCGCACGGCCACAGCAATCTGTGGCATCTGACATTTAGGGGCAAGCGCCCGACCACAAGGACGTTCGCCCCTTTACCAGGCTGACTGAGGCGGTCACTAAGGCCTTTGGAGGTCAGACAGTGTCTCTGCAGAGTCTTACGTGGGGCTTCTGCTTTGCGTGTGGACATCTCATGGGAGAGTCTGCTTCTCCCTCCCCCTCTGAGTTTCAGAAGAACCTGAGTTTCAGAAGAAGTCAAGATACACAGGCTGGACATCGAAAAGGTGGGGTGTCATCTGTGTGATAGGAATTGCCTGATTTCCTTGGACGACAATCAAAGAATCATCTATCACTTTATCCACATGTGCCCTCGACCTTCCGGGTAAACAAGCGAAAGACAGCCTCAGCCCTCAGGACCGGGGAGCGAAACTGCAGTTACCTGAACATGGAGGAGGGGCCCTACATTTACTGGGCAGGCCGTGGACGAGCCCCAAGACTGCCACATGCTCTCTCCTCCAAAGGCACCTGTGTTCGAGTGATCTCCGCCCCTCCCTCAGAAACATGCCCCCATGCACTTACGTGGGGTGGGACCGCAGAGTAAGTGACCCGCAGTCGTGGGCTCCATGTCTGCTCCATCACTGAACTTGTCAAAGGGCTGAGTCCCGGTAGGACAGAGACGAGACCACAGACCCCAGACTCACAGTCCAGGATTCTCACACTTCACGACTGTCTGCAGCTGGCCCTATCCCTCCATCTCCTACCTGAGATACGGGCACGACTCTAGAGGACGCAGGTGCGTGGCGGTTGGGTCGGAGATCCACACAGGAAATTCTGTCCCGTCTTCGTGGAACAGCTAGCAATTGTCGCTGGTCACTTATCCCCCTGGGATCTAAATAACCAGTGAGTAAACAAATCGGTGAATCATTCCAGCAGACCTCGAGGTTCCACAGGGGCACCCCAACCGTGGACCCCACCTCCCACGCCCCGGCGACCAGCCCACGCCCTCTACGGCTTGCCCACTGCACGCTGGTGGCATGCCCCCGGGACCTCTGCTCAGCCTTCTGACGGGCCCCCCACGGCACTTCCCATCCTCTCTCCACCCCACCCTCCACACTCTGATGTTCTTGCTAAAAATATAGCCCCCCAAATACATAGGATGGAGTTAAATATAATAAAAAATATAGCCCAGCCCCAACATGCCCTCCTGCAGCCTCTCTCGGTTTCCTGTTAGCAGGGAGCAAAGGCTCCATCCCTGCAGGGATGATAACCCTGGATGACCTGACCCAGGCTGGCCCCCCAGCTGCCCTGA